CTGAAAAAAACCCAAACAACATAAAAGGGAATTTATCTCCTTCTTAAAAGATTACAAATATGTGAAGGGACTAAGGAAGACAGGCATAACACAAGATTTCAGCAAGTCAATCCATGCATTTAATCAAAATATACTAAGAGCACACTTATCCTCCCCACCCCCCCAAAGTTTTAAATGCATTCCCAGGAAGAAAATACAACCTAGGACCAACCTCTTTCAGAGGCATACCCATCCCTTCTTCTGCAAGTGAAAGCCGAAGTCAAATTCTGATCACCAGACAGACTTGCCCTTTTGAAAGCAGGATTACTAGCTGTTGGAACACACTATCAAAAGAAAACATTTTATGCCCTTTTCAAGAGCAAGTGCCTTTCTCTAGCGTAAAAGCCTTCACAGGAGGTCACACCAGATAAAGTGTGTCAAACTCTTACCTAGATTGCTAATATAAAAACTTCACCAGATGCCAAATCTCAGCTGATAAGACGGCTTTATGTAGTTTCTGCCTTTATACTGAGCAACACAAAAGCTTACACATCTTACAATGACTCCCCTCAGCACACTATTTACCTCTATCTTCCTTAGCATGCCAGAGACCTGACAACCTTCAACAGATTTCTTCTCACTTAGAATTCCAGAAGCCATCCTGCTATAGCCATTAGAGAGGTATGGCTGATACACAGTCAAAAGCCCGAGATTCAAGGGCAGTATCTAACAAGTACTACATGTCTGTGACTTACATACCAGAAAGACTTCAGAACTTCTCCCAGTGAAAGGGCATCAAAGATTCCTGCCATGAACTAATTGAAAAAGTCTATATTCCTCATCCTTCGTGATAATGAAGGACAACACAATACACTTTCACAGTAGCACGGTTCTCATTAGAACTTACAAATTACAACCCAATTCCTGTATTCACTATTTTTCCCTAGCTTGTTTCAAAGTAATAGTACCAATAATGCAAAACCAGAATTCTCTTCCCTCAGAGTGTCAACCAAGTCATTGTGGAGTATACCACTTACAGAAACTGACAATTTTCTGCAGATACCTGCAGCAAAACTATGCCAGAAATAGATAATTCAGGATGCACATTCAGAAAAAGGATCTTAAGGTTTCTGGTTACTATTCTGTCAAGTACAGTTTATGACTGAAACTAAAACTGTCACGCTCTTCAGCTTTAAACAATGAGAAACAGATTTAGAATAAATACACACTTTAAATGACCACATATCAAGCACTGAGGCAGCACGAGGACTTGTGAAATTCATCATGACAGCAAAGCTGCTACAGTTCTATATTTCAAAGTTTTCCAACCAAAGGCTTAAACAACAGATACTGCTTACCACCTACATTCTGTGATTGCAATTTTAGAAGATGATTGCACTTAGTGCTCTTCTTAGGAGCAGAAGGTGTCAGTCTTGTTTGTTTCAGGCTTCCACTGAAATAACGGAAAAAGGCTTTAATGAAAAAAGCCTATCATCCAATCTGCTACTCCCCAGAAACTTGGAAGTGAAGAGAATGCACAACAAATTTCTTATGCCAACCACTGAGTAATGAACCCCTTTGTAATACAAACGCATACATTCTGGAAGCAGAAAAACTTGCATACTTATTAAACACCAACCCCTTTCTCTCTCTTTTAATAGATGTGAACATGGGACTTCATTAAACAGATTCTGTAACATTAAACAGATTAAACAATGTGCTTAGCTTCATACTAACTTGAAAGTACAGATTTAATGACCTAAATAATTTTCAAACCAGAGTAAATAAGTATGGCCTATTTTTTATCAGAATAAACATGTCGGTAGTTCTGCTGTATGTGTTTACAGCTACATAAATACAAATACAGACCATGGAGAGAACGCATTAACTGATGAAACCAGATGCAGCAATGCAGACAGGTCCTAACACAGATGGAGGCAGTCTGCAACATGAATCTCGACAGCACTCAACACCCTTTGACTCTGCCACTGTGTAAAACAAACAGAAGAAACTACAGCAGCAGAGAAAGGGTTCTGTATACTGTCCTGTACTTACACAATACAAATTATTAGCACTGCATGTATTTGTGATTCTAAAACCAGTAAGTGCCTTTTGGCACCATTTCAACCTTTTGTTCTCCACAGTCCCATTTCACAGATTCAAACACTTTACATGTCAAATCCTGCAAAATCTAACACAGACTAGAAATAAGTATTTTTTAATAAAAGCCAGTGGTTGTACTACAAAGCATGAGACTTAAAAATACCAATATATTAAAATTAAAACACTTTGTGTGTAAGGAAAACGCTGGAATCATATACACAAATTTGTAGTACTTTGGGATTTCTGTTAATGAAACTAATTCTTTTTCACACAAGAAACATTAATAGCTCTCAAGTAGGACAGTGCACAAAAGCCCAAGACAATTACATAATTAGTCATTTTTAGACAGAATGTTATGTTACACAATACTGAATCGAACAATGACAGTCTCTTGAGCAAGTCAGTATTTTGAACCATATTATATGCATATTTATACTGTCCAACCAGCTTTATGAACCATTAGGAAATTTCAACACTAGGACTCCATTGTATCAAAACACATATTCTGTTAAATTAACAGAATGTCCAGTAGCAACACTGCATTTAAATGTATCACTTGATCTTCACCGGAAATAACTAGTTAAAACTAACCAGTTGTCTGCTGTTTTCCAAAAGGAGCTGCTGCAGTGCCATTAGGTGAGACGTAAGTGATTACAGCTAAGAAAGCCTATAGCCCACTCTCAGAGGGGAGACTATGGAAGAGTCCTTGACTACTAAACCCACATACCAGTCCCACTCTTCTCCCTAACTGACATTTAACTACCTGCCAATACGCTTTGAATTTATTTTTACTCCTTTTTTTAATGTCTTTCTTTTTTTCCCCAAAGGGAGAAGGCTTGTGAGTAAAAACTTGAAATTAGAGTGCTATAATTAATACTCTTACAATATTTATATACAATTTATCTACTGTAACTACAATACACAGTATTTATACATCACCAATTTATCATTTTAGTATACGTAAAGAGATAATATGGTAACTAGGGAAAACAAAGTATGTTTACAGCACTTTGACAAATGAACTAGCTTTCACTTAATCGACAGAACATGAAAATGTGAAATCGGTGTTGATTTATGATTGCAAAAATAAAATCCTACACATAGAAGGAATATAAACACACTTTGCAGTTGCTTAAGACAGACAGAATTAAATAATGAACACACACTCATTCACTCAAGTCATCAATTTTGCAAGCGTAAATGTTGCACGCATCTGTTCAGACTAAATGTAAATCAGCCACATGGCTATAAGTTTTAGCCAAGAAGTTACTTTGACTCTCTCACCTCTCCTATTTCCTAATCTTTTTTTCTGATCACCTTGTCTGAAGTTATCCGAGTTTCCACATGTAAGAGCTATAGTACCATTTATTTCTTCAAACACACAGAAGAAAGGAAAAAGAAACATTCTTCAGAAACAAGTTCTTAAACAGAACCAGTAAATATTGATCACAGTCGTGGTTTAAGCACTATTTAATGCTTGTTACCCCCATAAATCCTGCTTCCTTACCAGGGTGGGGCCAGAGAGACTACCTGATAGATGTTATCTGTCTTGAAGGATACTGTCATACCTCAGATAGATCTGCCACAGCTATACTTGATCAAAGGAAAGCAAAACAATAGATCCCTCTTGATTTCTTTGCTTTTTCACTTCAGTTGTTTTGTAACTTATGAAACTACATGAAGTTTGACAAAGCACTAATATTCTCAAGAAAGAGCAAGTATTAAGAAGTGTATAGGAGGAACTAGTTACCATTTAAGTGAACGAGAATTTGAGTATTTTATACCCATAAACAAGAACCAAAGATTTCAGAGAGATGTGACAAAGTAACAATGAGAACACTTCTTACACGAAGTAGAAAGTAAATTTGTGGAACACTACTTCTACAAGTACAATAAAGTCCAGATCATCATCCCTCATCTGGATGAGTATTTATACAATTGCAGAATTGTATAATGCAGAAAGACCATTCAGGGTCATCTCAAGAGGAACTCACATACTGCTGTAAATACTTCTAGAACACAGTAATAGCTGCAATGGTTTCCTCAACTGCTGGCCTGAAGAACACTTTTCTCACCCATCCAAAGATATACAATTAGCTATAACCAAACATCCAGCTTTCAAGTCATTGATTAGGATAATGCTATAGTTCTCTTGGACTTGTGTCAATACAATAAAGAAGACAGACTACTTGAAAGATAAATCAGACATCTTTTAATTTAGAGTAACCAAATGTAAAGCCAGTTGCCCAACAAGACTAGACAGTGCTAATAACCATCTACATCAATCATCACATTAAAGGGAATTGTAGCAAGAGGAAAGAGATGCCATCCTTGTATATATGGGACTGGAAAAACATTGCTGCTCCTACCCGTTAGTGCAGGTTTATAGGGTAGCAAACTTACTGGGGTGGAAACAGCTTGCATACATTTCAGAACCTCATTCAACTCAAACAGCTCTATCCTGAGGTATCCTCTGCGATAGAATTATGGAATAGTTAGGGTTGGAAAGGACCTTAAGATCATCAAGTTCCAACACCCCCCGCCATGGGCAGGGACAGCTCACACTAAACTGTATCACCTAAGGCTTTGTCCAACCTGGTCTTCAACACCGCCAGGGATGGAGCATTTACAGCCTCCGTGGGCAACCCATTCCAGTGCCTCACCACCCTAACAGGAAAAAATTTCCTCCTTATATCCAACCTAAACTTCCCCTGTTTAAGTTTTAACCCGTTACCCCTTGTCCCATCACTACAGTCCCTAATGAAGAGCCCCTCCCCAGCATCCCGATAGGCCTACCAGTTGAGTGAACTCCAGTTTCCTATCTTGTGTTATGTGAAATAGTAAACATGTTCAGAATTAGTGAAAACACAAAAGACAACTTCACTTCAAAACAGAATGATAACTTCTGCAGCTTACTCTGGATTTTATGTATTTTATTGCAAGTGCGTGACAAGTCCCCATTTTGGCCAGAACTTGCAGTTCTACACTTGCCTTCATTTTAACATTCAAAGGCACATCCAAGTCAATCTATTGGAATATTCAGGATTGGGTACCTTCCACAAAATTACTGTATAAAAGGATGCAGCAGGTAGTCTTCTTCCTTTAGTCTCTGTTTTGTGTAAAGTGCTGATGAGCCCTGATTTCCCACGGCGTGTCTCTTCATGGGGACTTCAGTATCCTTTCCTTCCTCTGAATCTTGCCCTGGTATCCAACTGAAAATTGAAATCAATATATTAAAAAACATGCATTTTGCAAAAGAAATGCTTTAGAGTGTTTGTGAAATCTTGGCACTTTGTAACATCAGAACAAAGCCCAAAATACAGCAGAATTTACTGTAAAGAAAATTAGTGATGTAGCCAACAAGTCATGGGGTTCTTCCAATGAAACAGACGTTGTATTATCTTGAATTTCACTCAAAATTAAAAATACGTGATATGCATTCTCTGTAATAACACAAATGACAGAACATCATAGTGGGGTGGCAAGGAACATGGGAAAACAAGGTAGTGTCAATATGCTTAGATCTCTTTTTCCAAACTTAACTGATAAGCTGAAGGACCAAAATTCAGATTGGGTTGAAGTGGGAATCACTGCAAACGTCAATGAGGAAAAGGGTAACTTAAATACAAGAAGCTTCTAGGGGAAAAAAATCCCAACAAAACAACCAAACCACAGTAAAAAGTGAAGTAATACTCAGCTTGTGAAACATGTGGGTTTATTCTTGGCAGTCACAAAAAGGCATTTAATGGAAGCAAAAAATTACAGTAAAGCTAAAATAAAAGCTATAGAGCGCACTTACACAAGCTAAACTGCAAGTTCTTTGCCAGCGCAGCAGAAAAAACATATTCTGATCTTGGGAAAATTCTTCTGACTTTATTCAGTCTTGTAGATAGCAGTTTCAGACCGCAGTTCAGCTATACTCAATCTAGCATCAGGGGGTGGGTATTTTACCTCCATTAACAATGCCTACACATAAAAGTGAGCCCTGAACTACTTATGCTTAGAAAGTTTTGATACCACCTTTACAACATCCTAACCCTTTTTTAAATGTTGTGGAAACAACCAAGACATTTCTGGATAAAATAGGGGAAATTTTATCTAATTACATTTTTAAAACTGACTTCACACTATCATACTTAATGGCTCACTGTTAAAAAAACCCAAAGTGGTACTTATTATGAACTCAAGTCCTCTAAGAAAATGAAGAGTAGTGTAATTTGAATGCAAGAGCCAGCCTCATCAGTGAAAGCCTTTTTTCAATAGCACAACCTCTTCACTTAAATGTTCTCCACAAAGATCTCTTCCAATGACCTCAAACAAAAGTTAGCTTGTCAATACCTTATCTCACAATTACCTGACCTACTAATATTGCCTAAACCAAAGCTTTAACAGAAACAATAGCAAAAATGCCTCGTTTACCTGTTCCATTCTAAGCCTACTTCAATTCAAATATGCGTTTTTCCAACTCTTTTATACTCCGCTTTTTCTTCAGATGTACAACACCCTTATTTTGAAAAGACTTCAAAGACAAGCCTTATTCTGCTTTATGACACCAGTTTTACTGATCTGAGTGCTCTTCTTCAGAAAACAGGAAAAAGGAGGGCAAGCATGCAGGCCGCCAGCAGGAAACGCACCACGAACACTCACCATCGATCTTTTGCATGCAAAAAACGTCATTTGCAAACTTCTACAGTGTCCTTCCCTCAAGCACTGCTTCGGGCTTTTATTTTCCTGTGGGACGAAAAACAAAGGATTACACACTTAAATGGATCGCAGGAGCTTCTCATTAAGACATGAAACTGCTTCAGATGAGGTTTACTCGGGGTTTTGTCATGGCACAGTGACTCGCGCTTTCTTTTGAAGTTGCCATTTCTTAACCTTCTTAAAACACGAATTAAGGGCCTTGACTGAGACCTCGGGGCACCTTAAGCCCAGGGAGGCGAGTGCAGTACCAGGGCCGCGAGCCCTATCCCGGGAGAGCGGCAGCGCTCACCTGCAGGACACAGGGGCTCTCCAGCAGACAGTGCCGCAAGTCCTCCCTCACTCCCCCGCAGGCCTGTCCGTCCTCCTCTTTATCCTCATAGTACTTAGGCATGGTGGAAAGACAGGCTCTAGACCTCGCTGCGGCCTACCCAGACACCACTACCACCACCACCACCGGCCGCCATGCTGGGCGCCCTTAACCCTATCGCCGCTTCCGGCGGTAGAGAGGAAGAGGCGGGGTGGATCCAGGAAGCAAACCGGGGCGCTTGCGTCACCGACGTTACCGGAAGGCTGCTGGTTCGGGGGGCGGTAGCGGCACCAGCAGCGGGCGAGGCGGGGGTCGCGCCGCGGTAGCAGGTGAGGTTCCATCCCTTACCGGTTGCTGAGGGACGAACGGCGCGGTGGTGTGAGCCCGGCTGCTGGCGGGGAATGAGGGCTGTCGGTGCTTCCCGCCTGGCGCTGAGATGCGGGTCCCGCTGAGAGGGCGGCGGCTGCTGCTTCTGGGGCGGTCACGGATGTCGCTTCGGGCGATGCTGGGCTGGTGTGGGCTGAACAGCGGACGGAGAGGCCGGTAATCGTTCTCCTGGCTGCGCTCTCCGGCCTTTCGCCTGCTGTAGAGCCTGTGGGCCTTTACTCGCTTTTGCAATGGGGCCGCAGGGTTGGGGCTGCCTGGCAGGTGGTACTGAAGCGGAGGTGCCTGCTCCACTGTCAGGACATGGCGGGCGCGCCTGTGAGTGTCACAGTTCATACTTGTGCATAGCATTTGTAACTTACGTGGCCTGAATGGCCTGATCGTGGTTTTAGTCCTCATTGTGTGCTAAGCCGAATACGTCTTTTGAAATTGCTTCTTCAGCGAGATGCTGCCAACTACTTCAGTTAGTTCCCGGAGCCAGGGCAATGGTGTGCTGAGCCCCAGGGATGCTGCAAGGCACACAGCCGGAGCGAAGCGCTATAAGTACCTGCGGAGGCTCTTCCACTTCCGACAGATGGACTTCGAGTTTGCTCTTTGGCAGATGCTTTACCTGTTTACTTCACCACAGAGGGTTTATAGGAACTTTCACTACAGAAAACAGACAAAGGACCAATGGGCAAGAGATGATCCTGCTTTCTTAGTGCTTCTCAGTATCTGGCTCTGCGGTGAGTGCAAGGGAATTTCATGAAAGAGGCAGGGAAAGTTTAGGAATATACATCTGTGGCCCTTCTACCAACCTACATGGATTATCCTTTAATCAAAGTTGAACAGAAGAAAATGATTGAACCGTTTGGAAGTTAAAGAAAATGGAGGAGACAACTAATACTATCTAGTCTTGAATTATTCTCTATTGCAACTCATTTCCCACTGCATTTCAAACTATATATAATCCCCTGTAACTTTACAGACAGTAATAATATGCCATGCCATACAGCAATGCTTTACTTAAAAAAATATGCACACTTGGTTTATCTGAACATTACAGATAAAATGCTGTTTTTGCAGTAAAAGCCCTAGTGAGGTTCTGCATATTGCAAAATTAAGGTATAAACAAAGCCTCTTGTGTAGTTCTTAGACTGAACTGCAAATATAAGTCTTACCTTCATCTTCTGTTACACAGCACGTTGCTTTTAGTAATACCAAAACTGTTAATTCTAAAGTGAAAGTATGTATCACCACACACATGGTTTGTGTTAACAAAGAGCTTTTATAAACCGAAGTATATTCTGTTGTAGTTTTGTGTGGCTTTTTTTAAAAGGAGTTTGGTTGGAGCAATAGAATTTGCTGTTACGTTGTTAAGCCCAAGTACAGATAAGTGTTCTCCAATCTGTGAAAGGGATTATATTATGAATAAATAGCTTTATGCTTAATTTTGGGGGGGGTGGAAATAGTTGTGGGACTGAAAATCTTGGGGAGAAAAATAAGAATGAAACTGGACGTTTTGTAACAGTATACTCAAAAAGACATAGTGGTATAAGATCTCATGCTTTCTTTTCCACAGCTAATTTAAGTGACCTCATTCTCCTTTCAGTGTCTACTGTAGGATTTGGATTTGTGCTGGACATGGGGTTTTTTGAAACAATAAAGCTGCTACTTTGGGTTGTATTCATCGATTGTGTAGGTGTTGGCCTCCTGATTGCAACTCTGATGTGGTAAGTAGTGAGAGCTGAAATCTAGTTCAGTATTGCTGATCAGATAAGGATCATCCCCTGCTGTTTGCATGACACTTGGTTCTTTGGGGCAACACTGAAACTATGTATTGACTAAAGATTGTTTCAAAATGTTGCTTTAAAAAAGGATGCATGTTTTTCTTCTCTGTTATTTCCTGCAAAAGATGAATGCTCAGAAAGTTTGTATTATGATGAACATTTCGACTTGTTTTCTTTCTTCCTGTGCTGGTTAATTTTCAGCAGTAATGTCAAATCAAAACTGTGGTGATCAAAACCAATATTACCTCATTTCTTATTTTGAACAGCTTAGGTAATGTAAGCCCAAGGATGACTGTATTTAAGTAGGGCAGTATACAATTGGCTTATGCTTATTGCTGAAGATTTTAGCTGTTTCCGCTATAAGCAATGTTGGTTCTATTTTGTGCATGTTTGCTGATCACTGCCACTTTTAGCCTGTAATGTCCGGAGACTTAAAGAAGGGGAGAGCAGTAGGGAGTAAGTTTATAACCCAGGCCTCAGCATACATAGATGTGTTCCACACCTGCAAGGGAGCCATGAAACAGTGGGAAGTCACTGTTTCTGTGCTGTAGCAAGGGGAGGGAAACAAAGAAAACATTTTTATTTTACCAAGAACATAAGGAAGTAAGAGCACTTAAAGTTGAGTTCTTAGGAACAGAGCTGACATCTTAAACCAGTACTGATTAGAAAAGGGAGAGTCCTTTCAAACAATAGGAACTCCCATTTGTAACTGCAAAATTCAGGATGAAGCACATACCAGAACTGTAGCTGACAGATGAAAGGTTCCTCTGACCTACTCTGCTGTCTGGACCAGGAACCCATAAGTTGCCTGGGGAAGAGCATAGAGTAATTCTTCCCTGCATCCTCCGGTGATTTGTGGCTCTGGATGCAGTCTCCTGAGCTAGAAAGAGAGTTTTCCTGTGTCCTTTAGTCAGCTTCCTGCAGGCCTCGCTGCTTATCACCTGGCCCCAGTTCGGTTCAGGTCCCTTCTTCCAGTGCAGGATCACTTTCTTTTCAAAAGCTCTCCCAGTTCCTAGTGACTCTGAACCCCTTGTCTCTCTGCACCTTGCACCCATGCTCTGCCTTCTTCTGACCCTGCCTTTGGCATAGAAAGTACATCAGAGGAAGCTACCACAAAAGCTCTGGTCTCTTATTTCTGAGCATGGATTGACTTCTTGTTCCTCTTATAAATGGGATACATTTTCTGATGTCAGCAGAACTTCAGCTGGAGAAAACAGTCTTGAGGCTTGTTCCTCAGCCTGTCACACCAGGCAGTGCACATTCTGTTAGTATTTGTCTTCAAAAACAAGAATGGGCTCACCTTAAGCCTGTTATCCCTGCCCTCCTTCTGTGTTTGCAGTGCAATGGTTCTGTGAAGATGTGAGTTAAGCCATCCCTACAGGAGGTGTGTTGATTGTGTATGGGCACTTCTCTGAAGTCACCTCCTTCATGTACAACCCAAAGAGCTTGTGACTGCAGTGATAAATTGTAGCACTGATCTGTTTAAAACAAAGCTTTGTTTCTGTATTACCAGGAATGTCTCAGCTGCCTCCTGAATGCAAGGGATGTAATTATAGTTTTAACAAAAAAAAACATTTTGGCAATAGCCTGGTCTCGTAATTCTTGTGTGTTTTCTCCCAGATAGTGGAAACTTTGTCAGGGTAGAGCTAGGATCACACCTCTCTTACTGTCTCAAACCAATGCTTTGTCAGTCAGCTCTACAGTCACATTAACAACATTCTCAATTGTCTTCTCGTATAGGTTCATTTCTAATAAGTACTTGGTGAAGCAGCAAAACAGAGACTACGATGTGGAGTGGGGATATGCCTTTGACGTTCATCTGAATGCTTTCTATCCACTTCTAGTTATTTTGCATTTTATCCAGTTGTTTTTCATTAACTGTAAGTAGAATAGTTTGGGTTCTTTGCTTCAGAATCACGCTGTGTCGCAATAGCTGAGAGCAGTTGTCTCTTCCAGATGTCATCATATCTGATTCTGTCATTGGCTATTTTGTTGGGAATACGTTATGGCTGGTTGCAATTGGCTACTACATCTATGTGACATTCCTAGGATACAGTGGTGAGTAATGGCAGCCTCTTTTCTATTTGACTAGAAACAAGAGCATAATTTCAGCTTATTAATTTGTAAGTTAATAAAAGAGACTCAGCTGAGTGTTGAAGTAATTCTGTCTCCGTAGTGAAAGAAGTCTGATAGAAATTTACCAATCCCTGTCCAACTGTGTGGATATCTTAATCGAAAAATTATATTCTACAAGCTTCATGGCCTGTATTAGCTCTGTAGAACTACAGGGCTTGTAAACCTTGGTTTTCTAGTTCCTGTGTAAACCCAAATTGAAACATTTGCACTGGATAAAAATTCTGTAGTGAGTTTAAGACAAAACATTTCCCAGGGTGTTAAGTCTCCCAGCCTCAAGTCCTCTCTGATCTGTGATGGTGGTAGCACTAGTAGGGCAGAGATGACAGCAGAAGTTGGGCAGTGTCACTGGTTTTTTTCTTGCTGTCTTCCTCCACGGCCATCCCACATGAAGCACTTTCTTGAAAAGGGCACTGCTTCATATTTGCTTTGGTTTTGTTTCTGTTTCAGCATTGCCCTTTTTGAAGAACACAGCTATTCTTTTGTATCCATTCGCCCTTCTCATCATGCTCTACTTGATCTCCTTGGCATGTGGATGGAACTTCACCAAAATGCTTTGTTCCTTCTATAAGTACAGAGTGAAATAAAACCAGGACTTCACGTATCTAATGTTTATTTTGATTTTATCTTAGCTGTCTTGACAGTAAAGAAAAGAGCATTTTGTAAATTGTTGTAAATTTCTCTTTATTGTAGATAATTGTGTAAAAAAGTTTGAAGTGTCCTTTTTTTATTAAAATATTTACAACAGTAAACATGTTAGCAATTTTGTTCAAATACTTCTGTAGTACATTCCTAAAACGACATTACTTGTACATCTCTGTAGCTTAAATTTAACTGCAACAAGTCTATTCAGCATAACTCTTACTGCAGCTATTTTGCA